CCTTCATCTACCCTACTATCTAGCATAGTGCTCTGCAGGCACTTATTAAATGTTTGTTGAATTCAGTTGATGAGTGGAGTCCAACAGAGGACATAACAAATAGCGATAAGGTGGACTTCAATAATATAATGTGGTGAGTGACATGGGAATAAATTTTAAAAGCATAGTTTTAAAGCTAGAAGGGAATTTAGAAATCATGTAGACCAACCCCGTCATTCTGCATATGAAGAAACAAGAGGCACTGAAAGATCAATGGACTTACCTGAATTTACAAAGGTAATTAATGGCAGAGCCAGAATTTGAACTCAGGTCTTAGGATCACAGATTTAGAGATGGAAGAGACCTTAGAGGCCATAAAGTCAAGCTGCCTCATCTTACACATGAAAAAAGCCAAAACAAAGAAGTTTAAGGGTATTGCCCAGGGTCTCACAGATGGTAAGTTTGAGGCAAGATAAGAACCCAGATCTTCCTGACTTCAAGTCCAGCGTCTTGTCTATGATACTGGATTCTCTGAGCCCAAATCCAGCGCTTTTTTCATTACACCAGGTGGCGCCTGCTGTGTCTCAACAGGAGGACAAGGTGGAGAATATTCTGATGTCACAGTTAATGAAACATAATTTAAATATTCAATAATTAGCAAAGCTTGAAAATGCAAGAATGAAGCCAATTAAAGACTAAATGTCAATTATGAGCGTGTGTTTGTCTCCAAATGGTATATGTCACTGTGAATAGGATGTTTCCGAAAGATGAGGGGGGAAGAGAATGGAAGACTCCCAGAGCGTATTCCCCTCCCCCCAGAGAGCCAACACAGCACAGACCAACTGAGTAATCACCACGAGTATTCCCCAGGCTACATGTTTCTAAAGAGATATGTAACCCTAGCAGCAGGAACTGCTTAAGGGAAGGAATTTTCATCAGCTGTACATATACAAGGAGGTTTCTTATTTAGAGAATTGTTAGGGACATATGGAATAACTACTTTTATTAAAGCTATCTACCAATTACTGTAAACATACTTTGAAGGAAAGGGAATGGTCTCAGAAGGCCTTATCAGTCTCATCTCAGCTCCTGAGTCTGCCATATTCCTTGTTACCATTTTGATGTTTTCAGTCCCCAGATCTCCAACAAAGCCACAAACCAAGAGGAAGGATACCATTAGAGTACAAAGACAGAAGGATGGCACCTGGGACATCAAAGACTAATAAAGGGCTATAGAAACAAGAGCACACTTCCATTTAATTTACTCCCACTCTGTTTCCCATACAGGTACCACACTTACTTCTATTTAGTTTATATTTTCATTGTTTCCATACTAGTAAATAAAATAAGCTCCTTGGTGTCAGAGTGTTTTATTTTTGTCTTTGCGTCCCCAGCACCTGTCACATAGCAGGGGCATAATAAATGCTGAATGATGCATAATCTGGTCAAAACACTTTGCTCAAAATCCTTCAGTGTTCCCTATTACCTACGGAATAATGCTAAAATAGTTGCCAGATTAGGGCAGATTAGTGCCATAGTGGATACAGTACCATGCCTGGAGTCAAGGAGACTCATCCTCCTGAGCTTAAATCTGGCCTCAGACATTTACTAGCTGTGTGACCCTGGTCAAATAACTTCACTCTGTTTGCTTCGGTTTCCTCATCTGTAAAACAAACTGGGGAAGGAAATGACAAACCACTCCAGTATCTTTGCCATAAAAAAGCCACCCAAATGGGATAACAAAAGTCAGATGCAACTGAAAACAACTGAATAAGATTTGCCTAGTGTTCAAGGCCTCCACAACCCAGTACCACCCTAACCTTCCAGTTTTATTTCATGTTATTTTCCTTCATGTACTCCTTCTTTCAAATTAGATTACCTTCACATCCTAAACGTGGCCTTCACTTTCTAGCCACTGAAACTTTGCTCACATTCTTCTCTATTAATGAAGTATCCTTTCTTCCTCTCTGTATCTATTAAATCCTACTCATTTGTTAAAATTTCAACTTATATGTCATGTCTTCCACAAAACCTTCCTTGATTCTCCCCTCAGGTTTTACATATAGGACTGTACAATATAACACATATTTAGGAAGTGACAGTTGTGTAATGTGAAAGAGTGATAAAAGTTTAGGTAAGATGTGGTACCTTCCTTCAGTGTGTTCACAATCTGGTATAGATATCTAAGGCCAAGACAGGTAGTTAGAATACTAAATGATGAGGACATTAGAGAAATGCAAACAAAGTGCTATGTGAGAACTGAAGGAATTCAATGTTAAATAAGAGGATCAGGCTACATAGTAACACCCTAGAGAGTTAAGGGCAATGGGGAACTAGTAAGGCTGTTTGATTTCTCACTCATTCCCACCCTCCTTGGAAGTTGGGTAAAGGTTGGGCCAGAGGCCTTCTGAAGACCAGCTCTTCCTATCCTGGTCTGTTTGGACTCTTAGCATATCACAAGTATCTAGTTGGACCAAACCATTCCCCCTGTAACAGAATGTTAGAAAATACACTAAGCCTTTCAAGTTTTCTATGTTTAGAATCTTCTAGGACTCACTTGATCCTTTTATTAATCAATTTGCATTTCCTTTCCTTTTTTTTTTCCTGTAAAAACCCACTCTCTCTCCCCACCCCACACATCAATTCTTTTGAAGAATACTTCCCACCCCAACCCACATACATCTTCCTTGTGTTGAGAGACCCAACTATTTCCTAAGAATATATTCTAAAGTTATTTTGAATAAGAAAAAAAAAATCACGTGTCTATAATAACCTAGAGAAATTCCATAAACTAGTGACCAAACTCTAAAGTGTTGAAAAGAAATTAACACCTGTACTAGGTTCTTTGCTAGGTGTAATAAGACTGAAAAGGGAGTTGTAGAGGCTGAATCACTGGCATTGTGGGTTGGGAAATACATTTCAAACTTGAATTGTTTTTTTTTGTTTGTTTGTTTCTAACAAAAAAGGGCAGGTCCTCCGTCAAGCGGTGGTTGATAAGACAACCCGGCGTCCTCCACTGGCCCCTTCCTGAGGTCAAGAGAGAGCAAAGGATGTCCCCAATGGGAAACCAAGGGAAGAAGGATGAGTCACCCAGGATAGGGGAGATATGGGGGGCCCTGATCTGCATATTGGGGAGTACCCACATGGATGGGATTGGATCCACTGGAGTGTCTAATACAAAGAAAAACCAAATGGTGCCTACCTTCAAGGAGCTGACATTCAATGGGGAAGGGACAGAATTGAATTGTTCTCTAGGGCTATTTTATGTACAGGTGTCTTAGTGGCTCAACAACAGGAATTGTCCTGTTCCCCCACAGCACCTACCACAAGTCTTAGCACACCGCATATAATCAATCTCTGCTGAGCTGAATTGGCTTTGAAACTCAATGAGAATTCTTCAGACTCTAAGCAACATTGCTTCTACATTTGTATACACTTGTAGACCTGCTACCACCTTTCTCCCAGAATTATCTGGATCTTAAGAAACATCTGGTGGTGCAGTTGGGTTTTAGAAATACTAAGTGCGGTGTCAGGAACCAGACTAGGGAAACCTCAAAAGGCTGGTGGAAATATATTGGGATTGAGCCAAAATTGCCTTTTGGGGAAAAAAAGGCAAGACTGAACACAAATACTGTGGAACAGTGGAAAAAAGATATAATTTGGAACAAGATCCTGAATTCAAATCCCAGGTCATACTACTTCTGTGTAATCTAAAAGCAAGTCACAAAAACTTCCCTGTGCCTCTGTTTTCCTTATTTACAATGTGGGAGGATTAGACCAAAACTAAAAGTCTAGTATGAGGTTGAATAATACCTTTTGAAACCTAAGGATTCAGAAATACTACTGCAAAAATAAATTGTATCACAGATCTTTTTTCCTAACTTGTTCATTTATCTCAACACCTTTATATTTTATCTTGAGTTCTTTGAGTAAGGGCCATATCTGATCCTTTTTATATCCTCCATCTCTTTTCCAATATAATGCTTTGTACTTTTTTTGATTTGTTTCGTGAATTCCTATTTTTGTTTTCTTGTGTTTTGCTCCCTATCCTCAACCTTAAAAAAAAAAAAGCTTGTCTCTTTTTTGTTCCTATTATCTTCATTTCTTCTGACTTATGCTTCACCTTGCATCTATGGAACTCTTCCTATAGTTCCATCCCTCTTCTAGTAACCTTTCTGTTGTTTCATCCTATTGCTGTTCAGTCATTTCGGTCACATCCAATTCTCTTTGAACACACTGGGAGTTTTCTTGGCAAAAATACTGGAGTGGTCTGCCATTTCCTTCTTCAGCTCATCTTACAGATGAGAAAACTGAGTCAAACAGGGTCAAGTGACTTGCCCAGGGTCACAGAGCTAGCGTCTGGTTTGAACTCAGGAAAATGAGTCTTTCTGACTCCAGGCCCAGCACTCATATATGTCTATGACTCAGCTAGGGCTACCATGCAGGTGGCACTGCCTTAATTTTTAATTCTTGTGCAGATTGACTCATGCTTTAGAAAGGGAATGGGAAAGGGTTTTTGGCAAGTGTTAGAAAATTCCTTGCTAAATGTTCTAAGCACTGCAGATGTAAAAGTGTATCCTGACTAGTCATGTGAAACAACACAGCATAGGGAAAGAACTAGACTTGGAGCCAGAACTCCCCGAAAAGCTACCACTTGCTAACTATGTGACCTTGGGCAATACACCTAACCTATCTTCAGGGATTCATATTCATCATCTAGGAATTCAAAAAAACATGGAAAAATTTGTACAAACTTAAAAATAAGCAGACCAAAGAGAATATATAAAGTAACTCCAACAATGTAACTGAAGAGATCATTAAAAGGAAGTCAAATTCAGAGTAACTAAATAACCAGCAAAGGTCCCAGAGAAAAGATAAGGAAACATGCCTCCCTACTTAACAGCAGAGACAGAGGATTACTAGAACAGAATACTGTATACAATGTCAGATGTGATTACTGAATCCAATGTTTTTGTTTTGTTATTTTTATCACAAGGAAATACAATAAGAACACAGGGTATAGAAGATTAAGGTACATGAAAGTGCTTTGTAACTATAAGGAATTACATAAATGTAAACTATTACTACAATGGCTACTTGGAAGTGAATAAGCAGATACTCTGCTGGATTGAATATACAGTTGGAGATAGAAGGGCTGTCATTATTGAAATATTAGGCTGTAGAGAAGACAGTAAAATATGTTCAAATATATTTCAATTGTTGTCACCACAGAGCTGTGGGAAAAAGGAATACCTTGTATTGCGGCTGGGTTTAAGAAATATGGTAAATGTGCTATCAAAAACCTATACAAGGAAGCCTTGAAGGCCTAAGTGGCAGAGGGTGTAAAGACTGAAGGTGGGATGGCAGGGAAGGACTACAGGTGAGTTCAAAGGTTGACCAGTGAAAACTACTTTTATTTCTAAGAATGGATAAAAGTACTGGACCAGAGAAGGTAAGCTACCAATAATGGTAGTTTTCAGATGGGATGGCAGTTAGCTAAAAACAGGCAAGGGTGCAATGGTCACACCGTAAATGAATCCCTTATTTAATACCAATAGTTTAAAATCACATCACTTAAAAGTAATGTTTATTTACCACTAGGTGGCAATAATACAGGCTAGATTTCACTAACAAGGTAAGTCAGAAATCATAGGCAAACTTGGACAAAATTTCTGAGATTTTTAGTATAGACTTTTCATTTCAGATACATGAAAGATTTTTTTAAACTACTGTTATTTGTCCCTGTGACCTGAAGCCGTTCATGCAACGGATATAATTTTTAAAACAAATATTTCATTATAGAGCCTACTTTAAATCCTAGATACGGTACATGAAAATTTCAAATGGCAATTATGGAAAGTTAGAAATGTCTGTAAGAGGCTTTTAGAGGTCTAAGAAAGGCACTATAAAGATGAAAAATATGTAGATGATAAAGCTAAATATTATTCTTAATGATCAATGAATTGAAGGGCAATTCTTTAAAAATTATATCCATATTAGGATTAAACCAAGAAGTACCAATTTCAATACAAAGACACTTTGATTTCAAATTACAAACTTCTTAAAACAATATGCATAAAACAATATGCATACAATATTGGAATGCTTCAGCAATATTAGTTAAACATACTGAGTTCCATATGCAAAGTCTTAGCAAAATCCTGATTGATACGAATTAAAAACCAATAGAAAGATACATCCCTTCCCTCAGTCTTTAAAACACACACAGAGCAATTAAATTCCTTATAGTCTGGAACTTTCCAAATTAACTTGTTTTCTTCATTAATAGGATGTAAACATATGGCTTATTTAAAATACTAATTTCACCTTTTCATTTAAAGGTTTTCTTCATTTCTGTATTATAAAGGAGGGGAGAGAATTTTTGCAACTCTGATCACTGATAGCATCTCAAAGTCCCCCAGTGGGACCTTTTGACAGCTTTTCAATTAGAAGGATGATGTTCCCCAAAACTATAATGATAGATGGTCTCTGGGGGTAGGGACATGTGCTCTGATCTCAATGAATGTTTAATAAGCATTCTTGGACTGAAAGCCTGTCCTTTCTACAGCTTGGCAGGCTCACTGAAAAGAGGCCTATTTGTTTTCCTTTATACAATACCCTGTATTTACTGTGAACCCAGTGGTTTAGCAAAATTTTCAGATAATATACTTAACTCTCATTTATCTACAAATGGATGGGGTAGAAAATCTTTTTCTCTTCTCATCTATCAGAGTCTATTTTCCCCAAGCAGTTTAATAGTAAGTAATCCAAAATTTCCTGACAGTTCACATTTCCAGAACAGTCTTTCTTCCTGCCACCTTCATTAATGTTAGAGGGAATAATAACTACAACTTTCTGAGCTTGAGAAAAAAAAAATCCACACACAACCACTCCTTCCCCTATTATTGTGGATAATTGAGAATTAACTGTTAAATATAATTATTACTTACTTTGGATCTAATACTATATGACAGATTTTTCTTCATCCTCACAATCTAAATAAATAAATAAGACAATTGATCAAGATGGCAGCAATAGTTGGCACAAAGGAAAGACAACTGTGGCTGCCCCATGAATCAGGCAAAAAATTATTCTGGGTGTAAACAAGGTGCTCAGTGACTATTTCACTTGTAGAATCTTGCCATTAATACTTAGGGAAATGCCACTTGGTCAAAAATAAGGAATGGGACAAGTGATAGACATACAAGTTTTGCGTGTGTGTGTGTGTGTGTGTGTGTGTGTGTGTGTGTGTGTACAGATTCATATATCAGCTCCTGATTATCTGCAGAAATGGAGAGGGAAAAGAAAAATAATACAAATAGTCCCCAAACAATCTGTATGGCTTTGGAATACATTTCTACATTTGAATTTATGTCTGAGAATTTGGAACACTTAAAGAAAACTAAGCTATATTGCAAATAGACTAATAGTCACAAATACAATTACCAAGATGGTGAAATTTTAAAATACTGTTATTGAGTTGGATTCATTGTCATCTTCTGTTTATTTCTTATGGTGGCCCGGAGCTTACGTATTACCAGTTTGTCAGGCAGAATCATATCGCCTTGCTGTTCTAGATAATCCAATAAATTTTCAGTCCACTTGAGAGCAGCTGCATGATTAATATTCCTCTCTGGGATCAGTTCTATTTCCTCCTCCTCATTTTCACTTGATTCATCAGTTTGGCCCTGTGCTCTTCTGATTATTTCACTATCAGTTAACACCTCATAACCTGGTTCAGTACTGTCCACTTCAAACCACTGTTCAATATTCTCAGTGTCCACCTTTTCACATCCTTGTGTATGCTGTAAGATGGTGGCTAAAGTAGCTGCTGAAATTTCCTCTTCATCAAAGTCCAAACCATCTTTCTCTTCATTGCCAGGGAAAATTTTGTTCCATGCTCGGATAATAGTAACTGGCTTAACCATGTTCCATGCCATTGAAATTTCATATAGAGCATCTAATAATGTTAGTTTCTTCCAAAACATTTTCAGATCATTACCCTCCTCTAAGTTGTTTTGGAGAAGTCCTGCTCTATAGTATCTCTTCATTACAGCTATGACACCCTGATCCATAGGTTGAATCAATGAAGCTACATTAGGTGGCAGATATTTTACAAATATCTGGCCATCATCTGACCTTAGGACATTTTCATTTGGATGTGTTGGTGAATTATCCAATAACAGCACTGCCTTTTCCTGAAGGCCTTTGGATCTTAAGTACTCTCGAACTTGTGGCACAAAGATCTTGTCAAACCACTGTCTGAAAATAGAAAGGTCCATCCATGCACCTTTCTGACTGAAATAGGAGACTGGCAGGTTTGAAGTGTCAGTACCTTTAAATGAACGTGGTTTTTTTGCTTTTCCCACTACACAAAGTTTAAGTTTGTGTAAACCTGTCGCATTGGCACAGCACATGACAGTGACTCTTTCTTCAATTAACTTGCACCCAGAAGGAGTGAATTTACCCTTGACAGCTGAAGTCCTTGTTGGTAGGCACTTCCAAAACAATCCAGTTTCATCAGCATTATAAATTTGCTCAGGCTGTAAATTCTCCCTCTGAACAAATTCCTGAAAGTTGCTACAAAATTCATCCACAGCAGTTTCATCTCCATTTAACTTTTCTCCTCTGATGTTAATCTCACGAATGCTATGTCTCTGCTTAAAACGAGTTAGCCAACCAGCCGAAGGATTAAAATCTCCATCCATTCCTAAGGCATAGAAGAAAAACTCTGCTCTTTTTGCACAAATCGGTCCAGATACAGGATTCCCCTTTGCTCTTTGCTGGTTAAACCATTCCAGCATAGCTCTGTCCAGTTCTTCATACATGGATGGTTTCATCGACTTTCTCTTGGCCAAGAGACTTGTTGAATCAGAACTACTAGCATAAGTTATAATTTTTTCTTTATTCTTCCTTATATCCCTAACTGTCGTTTCACCAATCCCATAAATCACTGAGAGCTGTTTGGAGGAGCTGCCTTCTTCAAGTTTCTTTATTATGTCAAGCTTATCCTTAATGGTCAACACCACACGCTTGCGTTTCCCTGACATTTTAAGACTCTGGGAATCGTTCAACATGGAACACAGAAGGAAAAGCCTCTTGCTTCACAAAAGCACTTTCTCAGATCTAGACTCTGGTACTGTGGCACTGACCCCTTTCAGGCTGGGTTGGCAGAGGGCTCCAGGGCAAGGAGAGGGTGAGAGTGGCAGGCCCGAGGACCCAGATGGGCAGCCAGGCTGGGGGAGGGAGAAGGCCCAGAGTCGCCGCGGATAAACCGGATTATGAATGTTTGTTTACTTCTTTCTCTCCATCTCACGCCACCGCGGAGGGAGGAAGAACACAATCTCGGTATTGACCCCGACTTGGGGCTGGGACAGGTGTATCCTGCTCCCCCAGGAGAATCAAAGTTGGGTCCGGAAGCGCCCCGGCCGGGGACGAGCCGGCGTCCGTCGACTCCCTCTCCCCAGGGGACTCAAAGCTGGGGCCGGTACCCCCGGCCGGCCGAGCGCCCTCCCCCCCCACCACGCCGCAGGGGCTCTTCCCTCCAGTAGCCTCAGCCGGGTCGCCAGAGCCTCCCCGCCCCCTCCTGGCCCCACGGGGACCCGCTCCCCACCTCTGAGCTCTCGGCCAGGGGTCCCCCAGCGCAGCTCCCTCACTACACAGCCCAGCCAGCTCCTCCCACTCCAGGACGCGCTCCCGGAAGATCGCCCCCCCACCCCCGAGCTTCCCCGAAAGAAGGCGGGACTTCCGACCGCCTGCTTCAGGAAGGAGCCGCGGGACGCGCCAGTCGTCGAAGCTGACGCCTGAGGGGGAGGTGTAGGCGGAGACGTGGGCGGAGGCGGAGGCGGCTGAAGGCGGCGAAGGCGGCGGCTGCGGCGGTTTGAAAGGTGAGGGAGCGGGACCGCTGAGGGCGGGGGTTTGTCTGCGCTCCCGCGCAGCGAATGACTTTCCTAGAGGGGCGGGGTAGAAGGCACCCATCCCCCGGCGCCGGGCAAATAACTCCCTCGGCTCCCGGGCGAGGGTGGTGGCCTCAGGTGGGGAGGGGCGGGGGCGGGGACGGCCTGTGACAGCCCTTCCCTTCTCAGCCGAGCGGAGCCGAGCCGAGCCGAGCGGAGCTGCCTGCATCCTCTGGGGACACCCCTTCCCCTCCGGGGGAGTCCGGGGAATAGCAGGTAAGTCGGGGCTGGGAAGCCTGCGTTTCGGTTTTCTCTCCGCTGTTGCTTTCCCCCTCTCCTCCCCTGCCCTCCCCTGCTCTGGTCTGTCTCCTTGCTCCGCCCCGAGCGTTTCTGTGGCGCGCTGTTATCCCAAAGCTGTACCTCAGCATCTGGTTTCTCAGTTAGGTTTCCCATCCCTCCTCCCTCTAGGAGACTTGCTGCGCTAACCTCCCTCTGGCAGAAGTGGCGGGGATAGATGTGCGTGCGCGTGTGTGTGTGTGTTTGTGTGTGGTGTGTGTGTGGTGTGCGCGCGTGTGCAACAAGGAAAAATAACACTGGTGTTTTTTGTTTTTTTTTTAATGCGCCATGGTTGTTATCCTCTCTCATTTCCAAGTAAATTTTACTACACGCCTTGCAGAGCTGTATGAACGCTGGTAAGATAACATTACCAACCTAGAGAGCCAAATCCGCAGGGTTGGCCCAAGTCAAAATTGTGAAGGCTTGGATAGACATTTGTTGTGCACCTGAGTCTCTGAATAATGTGAGTCTGTAATATTTGTTGCTTTATTTTTAAGGCAGCAAAAAGCTTTGCATGCCTGATGTCACTTCATCTTCACAAAGACCCGGAGATAGAACTAGTTAATTTTTTTAATCCTTCCTTTTTTTTTTTTTTTTTTTTTACCATTGAGGTAATGGAGTACGTACAGAAAGGCGTAAGTGACTTTCCCCGTAAGTGGAGGAGGTGTAATTCAAGCCTAAATTTTCTGACTCTTGGACCGCTGGTTTTTCTATTGTTCCTTGCCCTTAACACCTGGTGGCTCGACGTCCCTATGTTTGTTGCCCAGGCACTGGAGGAAAGATTAAATGAACTAATTAATAATTATGTATTAGGTTAGAAGGTATCTCAAATGTAAACCAGTCCAACCCCCTACCTAATAAAAGCATGATCTTCTATCCCTGAAAAGTTGTCTTGCACTCTGCTTGAAGATCTCTGGTATATATTGTACAATATTAAATATCAAATAAGGAGAAATAATAGTACTGACATGTTTGTATACACCTGGCCCTTGCTTTCTCTGTTAAGAGGTTTCTCTTTGTCCTTAACTAGAGGCAAAATAGCATTAAAGAAGCTTGATGGAATCCTGATTTCAAGAAATGCAGCTTAAGTGCAATTTCCAAATAACTGTAACTGTTAATTTGATGTCTTGATAAGCATAGCACCTCCTTCTGAAAGCTGGGAGAGATGTTTTACCTCTTTGTCAGCTTTACCTTCACAGTTCCCTCCCTAGTTCTCATTTCAAATCTTAGATTTCAGCTTTTCTTTGATCTTCAGCCTCTCCCCTCCTGCTGCCCCAATACCTTACCCCAGAAGATTTCTGTGGAATCACCTTTAAAGGAAGTCAAACCAACCATATATCCCCTTTTTTAAAAATTAAATTTTCATTTAACAGGTATTTATTTTCTCTTTCTCCTTTGACCTGCCCCCCTGGGGGGGGGGACCATGGCACATGCCCCCTCTTAATACCTTTTATAATAACAAAAAAGATTATACTAAAAGACATCTAGTGATTAGGAAACTACCCTTTTTAAAGCAACCCATTGCACCTATGGAAAGTTCTGATTAAAAAGTTTTTCTTTACATCTAGCTTAAAACTGCCTCTATTCTACCATAGTCCATTACTGTTAGGCCCTTTGGACCAAATGGCACAGTGGATAGAGTGCTGGGCCTGGATGGAGTCAGGAAGATAGGTCTTCCTGAGTTCCAATCTGGTGTTAAACACATACTAGTTGTTTGACCCTGGGCAAGTCACTTAACCCTCTTTGCCTCAGATTCCTCATTTTTAGAAATGAGCTGGAAAAGGAAATGGCAAACCACTCCAGTATCTTTGCCAAGAAAACCCCAAATGGGGTCATGAAGAGTGGGACAGGACTGAAATGACTGAACAACAACAAAAACAAATTTAATCTCTCTTCTACATGATAGACTTTCGAGTACTTGGAGAACTTTAGTATTATATCACTCCCTTTTATCTACCTTTTCTCTTCTTCAGGCTAAATACACCCATTTACTTCAATTGATCCTGGTTTGGCATGGTTTCTAATTCTCTAACTATCTTATTCACTTTGCTGAACCTGAGAGTATCTTGAAGATTCCTGACAGTATCTTGAAGATTTAACACCCAGAATTGAACAATATATTCCAAAGGTAGTCTGTCCCTACTGTTGGTACTCCTCTTGTAGTCTCCCTTGTTCTGGACACCCTGCCTTTAAAATAAATCCTAAGATTATGATAGATTTTTGGCTGTCATATCTACCTTCTCTCTGACACTCTCTCCAATTTACTCTTTATATGCTTTATGTGGATGTAATTGTTTGCATGTTGTCTCCCCCATTAAAATGAGAGCTTCTTGAAGACAGTTTTACCTTTCTTTGTATGCCCAATACTTAGCATTGTGACTGATATATAGCAAGCACATAATAAATGCTTATTGACTACATGACTGTGCTTTACTAAGTTCCTTGATTTTTTTTTTCACACAAATTGTTTTCTGGCTCAGCCTCCCCTTGCACTGTATTTGTGCAGTTGATTTTACTTTTGTCCCTACTAAGTTTCATCTTGTTATATTTAGGCTATCATTTATAAGATTTTTAAAATCCTATTTTCTATTAAATAAACTGTTTCTTCTAGGTTAGTGTTATCTACAGATTACTAATCATATGCTATCTTTTCATCCAAATCTCTTACAAAAAAATTTATTGAGAAAAAAAAAGGAGGTATGGAAAGAAAGTTACATGACTGTACTGGGAGTACTTTGGTGAAGCTGATATTTTTAAAAGAAGAATATGTACAAAAGATGAATACAAATTCACAGAATCAAGGACAAATATAAAAGAATGGCATAGACTTGTGAGAATAATGTAAGAAAGTTAAAGACCAAAATGTCCTGACGCTTGTGAAGAATGCTAAAGACAATGAAACATTTTTTGGTTTTATTTTTAATCTCTTTTTGAGATAAGAAAACTAAGGGGAAAATAACCATTGCATGGGTAATTGTAACTGATGAAAGAAAGAGAATTATTTAACTCCTATTTTGTTCCTGTTTTCTTTGTAAAGGAGAATAATCTTTAGACTGAAAAGGATAGAAGTAAGATGGTCATGAAGGAATTTCATCGAAGATAAATGAGGAAATAGTAAGAGAGTATCTAAATCAAATCATCTGACTCAGATTAGTTACAAATCCAGGATACAGAAAGTATTGTAGCTATGATTGCTGAAGCAATGATTGTTGAAAACAAACTTTGAGATATGGAAAATGATAGAAGTATTTGAACAACATGAAATTTATTGGAGATAAATGTAAAGTATTGGACTTAAGTACACAGCAAAACACTATACTTACTAGTTGCAAAAGATATGGCAAAAGAGTTCGTTAGGGAAAGACCTGGGGTTTTAGTTGATTTAAAAGCTCAGTTTGAGTGAACTGTATGATACAGTAGCCAGAAACGCTAATATGATCTTAGGTGACATTAATGATAATATAATGTCCAGAGCAAGTGACTTGAAAGCCCTACTGTACTCTGCACTAGTCAGGCCTCACGTGGAGTTCTTGGGACCACATTTTAGTAAGGACATTTGTAAGCTAGAGCTTTCCCAGAGGAGAGTAAAAAAAGGGTAGTGAGGTAGCTGAAAACAATAACCTAGAATTGTTTAAACTAACTGAAGATAATAAATGTGGAGAAAAGAAAATTTAGGGAAGAAATTTTAACTGTTCGTGGAAGAGTTTTGGTTTTTTTTTTCCCAGAGGGGAGAACAAAGAGCAAAGGGTAGAAATTAAAGGGAGGCAAATTTTAGCTCAGTAGTAAAAAAGGACCTCCTAAGGATTCGAAGTGTACAAAAACAGACTCCTTCATGAAGAAGTCTTCAAGCAAAAGTTAGATGATCACTTGTCAGGGGTGTTAAAGAGAGTATTCATGCTTTAGGTATGTGTTGGACCAGATCACACTAGTAAGGTCCTTTCCAACTCAGGATTCTGTAATCTTTAAATTCTTTAATCAATCAGAAAGCAATCATTTATTAAGTGCTTACTGTGTGCTAGAACTTTCCTTCTTAAGTGATAGGTCTTCTGAGTGCCCCAAATGAAATTATATTCACAGTTTGGAGACCAACACAAAAACCATTCTTTGAAAAAAAAATTTTTTTCCCCTGGAAATTTCTGGGAATATATTATTTTAATATTATGCTAAAAATCAATGATATGGTATGGATAAGGTATGCATATTTTCACCAGTGCTATGTATTATCTCCCTACCCAGTAGCTTTCATGGTTCACATAAATTTATGGGTTATGGCTTCACTAATATAAACTGAGATTTTTTTTAAAAAAAAACTGATTTTAAATTTTTATTTAAGGAATTTTTTCCTAATGTTTTATCCTGAAATTATAATTTAGTAATATTGCTATATAAACTAATGGCTACTTTAATGGTCTCTCATTTTAACAATCTTAAATATAAATAATGTTAACATCTGTCATTTTATAGCACTGGATTTGGAGTTCTGATACCTGTTCTACTTATTTCTATTATCTGGGAAAGGTCACTTAGCTTCTCTGTCTCTCAGTTTGTAATAGAGGAATAATAAAAGTAACTCATATGGATATGGTGCTCCAAGGTTTACATGGAGTTATTGAGAAGAGAAAATAGCATTATGGAAAAGTACTTTGGAAACAATCAAAAGTACTATTACAAATGCATTCATTTTTTGTTGTATAACATGAATCTTATTCAAACAAGTTCGTTATCACTACCTAGAATTGATATACAAATCTCTTAGTCATATGGCAAGTATTTATAATGGTTGACTTGTTAAGTGATGCTAAAACATATTAGATATATTTTGTAATGTGACGAATTAGTATTTATAACATCATTTTAGTTGCTGAAGATAGACAACTTTATTTTTATTTTCTGGAATCTCTAAATTTGCATCTACTCATTTGCTAAAACTTGGTTTCTTTTTATGTTTTTACACTATTAACTTATGAGTCACATTGAACTGTATTATTAATTTTATATATTACTGTGTCTTAATAGTTATTTTTCTGAATTATATTAGGTTTCATACTTCTATTATTATCTAAAATCATACCAGTTTATACAACAAAGCTAATTTCTGGTATATAACATTAGCAACATTATTGAGCTTATTACTAGAAGGCATGACTGTAAAGTAATATGACTCATTTTTTTAACAGACATACCAGAACCTATATCCAGAGGATTGCCTCCCTCAAAGTAGTCACTTTGGAGGCTCTAGTGATGCATCTGTTGCTATATACATTTTTGAAATGCCTCTTTTGGAATTGCCTTTGTAACCTGTAGCAACGCCAAAAATCTTTGTCCTTTGAGGGTGGATTTTGTTTCTGGAAAGATCCAAAAGTCATTTGGAGCCAAGGCTGGTGAATAAGGTAGGTAATCCAAAAAATGAGTTGTCACTAGAGTACTGAGAGTGGCTTTCTTATGTGACTTGCAAACTTTTTGAAGGCATTTCCAAATGAGGAGATCCATAAATATTTTGAGTAATGATATCATCATTGAAATACATACTCCCAAAGTGATATCTTTGAAGGACAGTATTTATTTGTGTGTGTGAATTCTACTTTAGTGAATCTCATATTTTTCAGCAACCTCAGCAGCTCATCCTTCTATTACATGTTCCATCGCTTTGCTAATCATCATATATTTTGGCCTCTATCATTAACTAAGTTTTTCTCTGTTACCTCCTTCTAACAGTGTTTTGTGGCAATTGTCCTGTTCTCAATCTCCATGATAAACCTTTTAGCCTCAGTAGCACAGCGCCTTGCCTCAGCCGTAAATTAAACATAATATTGGTAAAGATGATGTGATAAGGTGCAGTGTTTTGATATCTGAATATTATGTTGGGTTATTTGTAGTTTTTCTGCGTGTTTTACTCTGCCTTCACATTTTGTTGTTTTATAACTATGGTCATGTTTAACCACCAGTTTCTATAAGTTGCAGTCTTATAAGTTTCTGTAGAAGTCATTCCTAAACAGTTCATTTGACAGTTCTATAATTGTTGATGTTACTTATTGCCCAACTGTTTTTTCCACATAGTTGAATTATTTTTTCAGTTATTATTTTTTTCATTTTCCTGCTGAGGAAACCCAATTTTGATAAAATAAAGTTCAGTTTTCAGCGTGGCATTTAAAACCCTCCACAATAAGGCAATACCCGTCTTCCAAACATTCCTCTAACTCAAAAAAAGCTCTCTGCCTTTGTCAAATAGGCCTTTTCATTGTCCTCTAAATATACCATATTCCAACTGAACCTCAAACCTTTATTCTTGCTGTTTTTCCCACCCAAAATCGCTCCCTCAACGTTTCTCCTTATCTAAACCCTATTAGCCATTCAGAGCCCATGTCAAGTCTTATATCTTCTACAGTCTTTGATACTCCTACCTCAATTGCTTCCCCTTATCTCTGAACTCTTATAGCATTAATGTCAGAATCATTATGGCACTGAATCACAGTCTCCTTGGATGCTATAACTTAACTGTTTTATGTGTATTTGTCTTGTTTCTGAACTTAAATTATAGATTTTTGAAAGACAGGGGGTATGTCTTATATTGTTTGTAGCCCTCTCAGAATTTTGCAGTCATATGCATATTGTAGGCACTCATTACATACGTGGTGAGTGATTGTTTTATCAATACCAGTAGGATACTATGTGTGATTCTAGAATGACCATAATATGACACTAGATTAATGTAATTGACGTCATAAATACATTTATTACCTTAACCTGACTATCATCTTCTTTATTATGAGATTATTCCTAATAACATTTTTTTTTGTAGAAGCTTAAGTGAAAATGGTACATGTTAGAAGATATGAAACAAGGAATAATTCTAAGACTCAAGTGCCGGCGTTGAAATCCCGGGTTGACTGGAGACGGACTAAACGAAATAATATCTTACAGTTACTTGATAGTGATGAAGAGCTTGATAGTGATGAAGAGCTTGATAGTGATGAAAGTGTTGATAGTGATGAAAGTCATGACAGTGATGAAAGTCATGACAGTGATGAAAGTATTGATAGTAATAAAAAGCTTGATGATAAAGAGCTTGACTTGACTAATAAGGCAGAAAATAACAAAGAACACATAACTAAGAGTGGTGGCCTTTCAGATCATGAGGAAGAAAAAAAAGAAAATAAATGTAAGACCATTAACACAGATTATGAAAAGGATCTAAGTCAAGAACATACTGATTCTAAACAACAGAGTGACCAAATAGTTACAGAGGAGGATGTAGAAGAAGAAGAACACATCACTCGAGGAAAGCGAAAAAGGGTATCTTCTGTGATGTATGACAGTGATGATAGTGATGACAGTGACATTTTAGTTAGAAGAGTAGATGTTAAGCGTCGTCGTATAGTGGAGGATGATGACTGTTCTTCAGTGGAGGTGGATCAAAAACCTCCTAAATCTGAAAAAAGCTCAGCCATTCGGAAACAGGAACAACTCCAGAAGCTGAAAGAGCTCTCAAAACAAAGATCTCGTCAGAGACGCAATAGTGGTAGAGATTTTGAGGTGTGTTTTTTTTTATTGAATTTCACTTGAAGAATATTTGCATTTTATCAAAAAGAAGTGTTAATTATCATATTTTCAATGAGTCAAATTATTATTTTTTCTTATTTAAAAATTTCCTGTGTACATTTAACTATACTGTCATATCCAGTTTCTTATTTGTCATAACAACATGAGACTCAGCTAGTCCATCATCAGTTCTGTTTTAAGAATTGAAGGCTACTTTTTGGTTTTGTACAGTCCTTTCAATTTTCAACTTTTATTAAAGCTTTCATTTTCAGTCAATCATTTTGTATCATTTAAACATTAAGAAAATAATATCTTGTCTTCATTTTAAAAGCTCAACAATTAATATGAAAAGGGAGTCATTTTTTTTTTACCTTAAGTCTTGAATTCACTTAATTTCTCTTTATCATGCTTAGAAGTATGAATTGGTCATTGTGTTTCACATTCATATTGAAATTTTTGTAATTTTTAAAAAGTAAAATATTAGATATAAAATTCACTAATTTGCATGTTCTGATTTAATTAGGATTCTGAAGAGGAATCTTTACCTGATAGTGATCTTGATGATGATGAAGATGATGATGAAGATGATGATGATGAGGAAGGAGATGATTATATTATTGATGGTTTTGTAGTTCAAGATGAAGAAGAAAATCAAAACCAATCAGGAGAAAAAATGACTGCATCACAGCTTCAGCTAGTGAAACGAAATTCTCTTTGTAAGTTAAATATTAAGGGTAGGGGTTTTGGTTTTGGTTTTGTTTTACTTACAACTTTTAATCATGTTATCCTATTATTTTGGTTTTGTAAAGAGTTACTTTCCATCTAATGGCAAGAAATACTGATTTTAAATACAATCAGTCTTTAGTAATCTGGTTATTGTTTTTTTGGTTTTTTTTTACTTAGGCATTTTGATTTTCACAGATTTTTTTAGTGCATAAGTAATTCATAGTAGTGGATTCTGCTACCTTGTTTTGTGTTTGGTAGAGGTTTAGTATGAATTTGAAACTCAGGTTTAATATTTTTCTAGATATTTCATTAGTTTATTACTATTCCTGTTGTCTTCGAGCATCACTAGTTGAGAGTTGTTCGCATCTTACTACTTTTTTTATTTTATCTCTATTGATAGCTTTTTTAAAAATACCAGATTCATTGTTTAATATATCCCTCTTCCCTCCCCTACCTAGCTATCCCTTCTTTGTGACAAATATCTTTTTTTAAAAAAAGTACAGGAAAACTAATCAACAAATATCAAGTATGAATTTTTTTCTCTTTCATCTCTCCCTGTCCATTGGGGAAAAATAGATAGAAAGAAAGAATTTTATTACTTGTGTCAAAGTCTAAAAAATCGGGTTGTTAGACTGCTGAATCTCTTTTTTCTGAGAAGTTTCATGAACCATTTCCTTAAATTTTACATTATGATACATAAGTAAAGTAATAAAGGTTATTAAAATTATATCTTATTATGATCAGACTGTTAAGCCTTATAACATAATTAAGGAGTAAGAATGATATAAATTTCAGGAAAATTCACCTTCCCTGAAGAGCCATGTAAATGAGTAGCCTTGTGTACTTGGAGTGTCAGACAATTTTACCTGGAAATAGTAAACATTCATTGAGCTGGTATCTGGGAAATAAGCTAGCACAGAAATCCAAAAATCCCAACAGAAAGATTGGCCAGCTTAGTAATTCAGGTACAAAAAAGAATGGAAAAGAAAAAAAAGAATTTCTATAGAAGTTTAAAAGAACTCTGGAAGTAGCCCAGCAAAATGTATCTCTCTCCCCAATTCCCTCTGAGCTTGGTGTATTAATTTGGGTGCATAGTATTGCAGTTCTGTAGAACTTTTGCTTTTTACTCATAAACTTGATGAGTGCGTGCTGCAAGATCAGATCTCTTGTTTCAAACCAACCTGTATCCTATATTCTTCCCCCACAGAAATGGTATCCTTGATTAACTAGGTTCTCGTTAGAGATTTGTTCTGTGAAGTTTGGATTCAAAGGACCATACTTGAGGAGGGCCACATGTGACCTCAAGGCCACAGGTTCTCCGCCCCTGAACTAGACAGTATTAGCTACTGGTTTTGGGAATGTATTAAATTTAAAACAGGCCAAAGAGGTTAGGGGAACCAGAAAGCAGATACTACCTTCTCTGTGATAAGAAGCTATTCAGGTTCAGAAATCCCACTACAAGTTTCTCTATTAGAATTAGGATCCATCTGGTTTTAGGGCTAGGATTTAGATGCTGCCTCTTTATCATCATTTTTATTATACTACTATTATGGTATTCTTATTACTCTTAATAGGATCTGTTCTTACCAGAGCAATATTTATCTTTCATTTATCTATTCTCTTAAAGTTCATTGGCACATCTTCCTCTCCTTAAATAAAAATTGTTATGACTCCATAGGATTCTAGTCATTTGGCTGTACTAAATTTAAAAAAAAACATTTTCTTATGAAGCTTTGTGTCCTATTGTTTATTACAGGTCTGTCCAGCTTATATTTGCTGGTTTTTATAATTTATAATAAATTTGTTTGAACCTTTATGTAATATCTTTACTCTGATGCCATATTCCACCTCTTGTCCTGTTTATACTCTTTCTCTCCCCTTACCTAGACCCCGCCCATGTTGACTTGAAAAGAATGGTGGAAAAAGTTTTGTTTTTCAAGTCACATTCCAAATTTTTGTGTGGCATTTATATTTAGCAGTACTTCCTTTTGAGTTGCAGTAGGAAATAGAATTGTTACAAAAAGAATATAAAGTCCCAGATATATGATTTAAAATTTCTTTAATGCAGAGAAGTTTTAGTATCTTTTTAAGAGTAGTTTTGTATATAATAGTAATAATGTTAACCTTCATACTATGTTTTACTTTAAGAGAACCATTTTAATCATTCAGAACTCTAATTTATAGTTTTCTTTTTTTCATTGCCAGTTGGACTTTTCTAGGGAGACAGCATGAGATAGCAGCTAAAAATACTGTATTTGGAGTTAAGAGATTTGAGATTCCAATACTTGATCTATAATTGGGCAAATCAAGAATGTAATACTAACATTAGGAGAATAAAACTAGATCCTTCATCTATCTATATCCTAAAGATTTGAACATTAGTAAGCTGATACTTTACTTTTCTTAAGTTTAATCAAGAGGTTGATTTACATATATATATTATATATAATATAATATATATATATAATATAATATATATATATATATAGCTTTTGATATTCCTTTCTAAATTTTATCTAAAACACATTACAGATTCTTTCAGTGACCACTACACTCACTTTGAAAGAGTTGTCAAGGCTTTTCTGATCAATGCTTTGGATGATACTTTTCTGGGAACATTATATGGTAAGTGAATAGTATCTAATAGCACATTTAATTGTATATTTTTTTCCTCTTTTTCTCATTTGAAACAAAGAAAAGCTGTCCTTAAGACCTTTTCCTTATTCACCCCACAAACAACTTCATCAAAGTAGGTCAGTTCAACATGTAGTTATTGGACTTCTACCATTCAAAGTGCTATATAAATCATTTTTAAAATGGGATTCTTAAGAATAAGTGGTCATTGCCTTCAAATGCCTACAACTTAGTAGGAAAGACAAAATATAAGAAACCACTAAATAATGATGCAGAGCAATATATTCTTAATTGTCAGAATAATTATCACAGACAATAAAATTATGTAAGAATTCAGAAAAGGGAGATATCACTGTGGGTTGGGATGACCAGGAAAGCTTTCATGGAGGAGGTGGGACCTGAACTGGTCTTAGAAGGATAGATAGGCAGGACATGTATAGCTAACAAGGGAGAAATAGCATGATCAAATGAAGAATAGATTTGTTATGTTTGAAGAGCAACAAAAAATCTACCTTAGCTATAGCTAAGTATAGCATAGTCGGAGTAGTAGGAAATAATATTGGAAAGGTAAGGTGGGAAGATTCTGGAGAGCCTTGAATATCAGCCTCTGTGGAGTTTGAACTACTATATATATCCTAAAGCCATTAGAGAGCTTTTCAGTAAGGAAATGAGAGAAGGAATGAAATGGCAAGCCTTTACATCTGGTATTGGCCATTCTATTACCATCAGAAAGTATTTCATAAATACTAAATTGTATACAGTATTATGCAAGTTATTGTACAAAAAGAACTAGAGACCTCTTCCCTACCATTGGGACACTAAGTGATTTTTACTTCCTTTTGATAGTGTGATTTTTACTTCTTTTTGATAGCTCTCCTCCACAAAAGTCCTACTCTGATGCCTCATCGTGGTGTGGAGGTGACCCTGGGTTCTCGAAGGCTATGCCAGCGGAGCGCAAGCTCTGACAGGTTCTACCAAGCTGGAAAGGCTTCGAGTATGGTCCCAATGACAGACTGTGTCTGCTGTCCAAGGACCAGCCTAGCTAAGTACAGAGAGGCTCATCACCAGAAGGCTGGCCTCTAGGTGATGAATTCTTTGTCCATGCTGAAGTATGAAACATAAAAGTAAAAGATGACCTTTCATCTTACGCAGTCTACTTCCATTTCCACAGTGACAGTAGTGGAAAAAGAGGCAGGGGGTACTAAGAATCACACACTGTTTAAACTGTTTAGAGACATTAATTTAATGGTTGGTACTCTTAATATGAGATTTTGGTCCAACAACTAAATTGACAGGCTCTTAGAGAAATTGAACCACATCTATATTGACATTTTTTAAAAAGAAGTCTGAAAATATAAAGAAGTCTCATCTAAAATGAAAGATTGTTCACAAGTTCTTGAAGAAAGGAATAAAGGAGATAATGGAGTTGGTTTCGTGGTATTCCCAAAAGACAACAAACAAAAAAATTTCATGAGCCACTTGATCATTTTGCCTTGCAGTGCTCATGATGAACATAAGCAGACTATCATGAAGATAATTATAGCTTTTGTGTCAACATGTGCTGCAGAATATGAAGATATAGAGAAATTCTATGAAGAATTTGACATGATTCTCTGAATTAAGTCAACATACTCAGTGATTTCAATGAAAAAGTGAGCACAAGGTATGGAGGTAAAAATATGTTGGAAAATATAGTTTGGGAATAGGAATGAAAGTAAGTAAAGTCTTGTAAACTATTCAGAAGCCTTATGCTTGTATATCCTGAATAAATTCTTCTGGAAGAGATTTGGAAATCACTGCACGTGTCCAAACTGCATCACAAAAGATGAGATTAAGTATATCTTAACAGAGAGGAGAAGACTAGTTGCTGACCTAGGAATCATTTGAGAATCATTGGTTGTTGGGCAGTCAAGTTAGCAGCTGGTTAGAGCAAACATTAGAACTAATACCAAATTAGAATAAAGAAAGAAAATGAGAAGACAACACTGTAGGCAATTACAGTAATGCAGTCTTACCTTATCTAGACAATTTGTTGAGTCTAAAAAATTGGAACTAGAGAAAAGCAAAGACATTGACTTTAGTTGTCATTTATTAGAGAACTTAATTATAAAACAGTTACCACAATAAGAGGCCAAAAAAGCCCAGAAGCTACCCTTGTTGACCAATGCTTGATCCTCTAATCAGGCAAGGAGGTGTGTAGAAGACAATGGCAACATCAAGTCAGGCTTCAAGTTCATTTATAAAATGTGGAACAAGATGGTGCAAGAATGCCCAGCAGTTAGGTTTGCTCCAAAAAAAAAAAAATGAAAAACTATGGAGGATAAAACCAGTCCTGTAGAGAACTTGGTGTGAGGTTCAAGAGAATTCATAGATGAAATTGAAAAGACACCAAATAGATATGAAATGGAATCAGTCTGCCAACTTTCTTGTAATGGTTTTTTCTCATCATCAATGATAGTAGAATTAGCACATTTTGATTCTTCCACTGTAGTATTAAGTGTGCTATGTGAAAAAGTGGTAATGATACTTAAGAAGATATAAATAGGAATAGCGTCTGGATCTTCCCAAATACAGAAGAAATCTATGTTAGAAGGTACAACACGTTAAAAGAAACACAAGGTTCATCTTTTCAAGATAAATCTAAAAGAGGAAATTTCCAAACCAATAGAAATGATCTTGGATGGTGGTGTTAACAGATGAAAAGTGAGCAGGAAGAGATAATCAGCTATCAGATCATATGCCTACTTTCCTCTTCTCTATAAAATCTTCATGAGAATTTTGTATATACAAGGTATACTTGATGGAAACATAAGAAAGGAATAGGCAGGCTTTCATAGGTGATTTTCTGCTGCATTCCACATCTTCACATTCACACAATTGATTGAGAGAGATAGAAAACATAAGATTACTTTGAGTTTGTTGATTCAAATAAAAATTGATTCAGTAGAGCAAAATGCATCCTTAAATTCTTTCCTTCAACAAAATGTCTCCCATACATATTTCAGGATCAAATAAGCATACTTGATAATCTACAGGGTTAACTTTGTTCAATGATCTTAGACATGTCAAGATCAAGTAGAACAAAACAGAGATGTGCTCACTAAAGGTATTCACAAATATCACAGAGGATGTCTTGCACCAAGTCCAGATAGACGAGAGCTTCTTTTACAGATGGGGAAGTTTTCTTGGTGCTCTAATTTGCAGATGACATCATAAATATATCAAGTTGTGGAACATTATCAAGCTATGTAAATGAGATACATTGTACAAAAGAAATTGTTTTAGCGAACCGTATGAAGAAAACAAGTGGTTGAAGAGCGCATATTGTCCAGATTATGAAATGTAATTGGATGTTCAGCTCATTAAATTAATCCAGCCAGCCATACATCTTGGACAGAAGAGATTGAACTGGATCACATTTGGGAAATGGCATAGGACTTTCAGCGATCCCAACCTGCTTCCTGCTACACTAACCCATTTCTCTATTACCAGTAGTCACTCCTTGTTGCTATTTTGCTGGCAGTCTTGGAAAATCATGACCTTAGAAGAATCAGAATTGCAGATGATTCAAAGAGTAATTGAAAAGGGCATGGTGGTTATAAACAGGTTGTAGTATTGCAACAGTGATGACTTATATGTAAGTGGTAGGCATCATGGACACACAAGACCAGAAAACACACTAAACCAAACTTGTAATAAAAATCAGAAATTATAGATTGTACTTACCTGCTATTCATGAAATATTAAAATAACCATAGGAAGGCCTTCAGCATTTTGAATAGATCCTCTATGGAGGACTTATGGAAAATAATGGACAAAAATCGTACAGGATGAGCAGGCGTGGAAGAATTGTGATCTGTACTATTGGAGGGATTACCTATATCGATGAGATCACGGATCCATTGTGCCAAAGTAAGTTTGATAGCTCATTTTCTCTCAAAATGTACTTTGTTCTTCCTGACTAATCATGGAATCTGCCTGAAAATAGAGGAAGAGATCCTTCAGTGTAAAGTTAGCTAAATGTTTTCATGGCTGCAAAGTTACTTATTTACTTGCTCACTTTTTTTTAAATTGACTCTTAATAGATGGCACAAGGCAAAAGTCATATGCACAAGACATGTTAACATCTCTTCATTATTTGGATGGCCGCTTTGTTCAACCTCGCCTAGAAAATCTAGTTTCCAGAAGTCGCTGGAAAGAGCAGTATAAGGTATTCAGTTCATTTATCATTAATGCATGAAGATGCTAATGGCAACAAGAACAGATTCATCACAGCCTCAGGCAAAACTTCACTTTACTTACTTACATTGAAATATTTAAAACTTTTGACCCTGCTCATTTGTAGCGACATTTCTGCATATTTATAAAATCAACTTCACTCTCATTTTTGGAAGATGTTGACTGTTTTGATTATTCTTACCTGTATATAGTTATTGATTAGATTATTCTAATAGCTGATTAATCTCAAATTCTTTAATTTCCTTTTGAACATAACACCCTTTAGGTCCCAAACTTAGCTGATATGCCTTGAAAGTCTTATTTCCTTTTGCACTGTTCTGAAGGCCAATCATTTCACAAGTCTTTAGTCTATGTTGCTGGGTATTTTATGGCAAGGGAGAAATAGACCTCCACATTACAATACTTTATCACTACAAGGTTATTCTAGGAAATTCCCATCCTAAATCTCTACAGATACCACTATGGTAATTTTCAAAGGAATTTAAAAAGAAGGAAAAAAAAACTAATACTGTACCATAGCACCACCTGGCATACATAAAACAGTATGTGTCCAGATCGCTTCAGTTTGCATCTAAACTACAATATTTAGCAGTTAAATTATATTACAGTTTTTCTATAGATTTTCTGATATATTATGTTCTACTGGGAAAGGCACAGGTTATATGATTGTCTATTGACTCATATGATAATTTATCAAATAAATTAGTTAGACAATATAAGTAATGCATAAAACATAGAGAAAGGCAGAAATTTTACAGTAATTTAGTTAATCGATAAAGCCTAATTTTGAATTCACTACCTGCTATGAACCTTCTGAGCAGTATTCACAGCATAAATTCCCCATAGGAACCTGGTCAGTCACTGCACAAGTGCAGTGACTTTCCATTTTGTTTGCTTCCCAAGAACTTTGACAGTACCATGGGAGGCAATTTCCATTACAGTACAGGTTGTGTTAGCGAGTAGACAAATAACGAGTATTTTAGCCAGTTTCCCTCATGTAGTTAACATGCATGAGAAGCTTGTGATTCTTCTTGGAACCATTTGTTGCAAGTTTTTTATAAATTGGTTAGAGTATGGCATGGTCAATTTCTGACACACCTAAAATAGAAAATCCACTTCATGGATTATCCTATCCTTTTGCTTCCTTTTCTGGATAGTTCTTTAATAGGGAAAATCATTCAGTTCTACTGCTTGTTATCACTTCTTATCATTTGAGAAGGTAAAAATGAATGTATAAATAATTTCTCATATATATATATATATTCTGTGTTTCTTTACATGACTTCAGTTAATGTAATGAACTATGAATCCATTCATTTAACAAACATCAGGTGCCTGCTATACGCAAGACACTATGGTGGCGGGACAGCTAGGTGGTGCAGTGGATAGAGCTCCGGCCTTGGAGTCAGGAGGACCTGAGTTCAAATCTGGCCTCAGACACTCGATGCTTGCTAGCTGTGTGATCCTGGGCAAGTCACTTAACCACGATTGCCTCACCAAAAGTCAAAAAAAAAAAATAGACATTGTGCTAAGCTCTAGAAGAAATAAATACTGTTATTAGTTTTCCTTATATAAATCCTAAGGTCATTTTGAATTTATTTTTAAAAACACCAATCATTCATTAATTTATTCATTGTTTTCAGGAACGGGTGGAAAATTATCCTAATGTAAGTATCCGTTGGAGAACTCCTGAAAATTGTTCTTGCCAGGCCTGTGGACTCCATCGATACTGTAAATATACAGTACATTTATCAGGAAAATTGTACAATGACAGGACCATGGAAACAGATGATTTCATGTCACATGACAAACAGGTAATTTGTTTTCTTCTAAATCGTTTTCAATAGCTTGGACTTAGAATTTTGTAGTAAGTATATATATGTTGTCACCATCAGAACCAATGGAAGAATATGGGTTCAAAGTGGAGAAGACAGTACTAATAGTTAATATCTGATTGAATCTGGAATAAGACTTTATGCAATAGATTTACCTTACTGTTTGTTTCTGGTTTTGCTATTATGAACATATAGTTTATGGTCCCTAAATACATATTAACTGGGTAGAGATTGGGAGGGTTAATGATTGTAGAGTAGGCAATTCAGGAAAGTATTAGGTATTGGGTGAAGTTAATCTGGGATGAAAATTTTACTACAGATAATTCACCAAATGGAGAGTTACTAATGAAAAGAATGTAATCCATTTTACTATACATGAAACCATAATTTCAGAAGTATCTGTAACATATCATTATAGTTTAAGAATCTTAGTACATAGAAGGTTCTCACTTTTGAGTGCAATGTATTCCTGAAGGTATGTCTTAAAAAGGATTGCTATAAAGCAAAATCCTGACTGCACATATATTGTTATCCTTGTTTGGACTTCAGCAGAAAGCATCAAGTGAATGAGTAAAACTAGCAAGAATAGTTTGTTGTTAGATAGTATCCAATGAATTAAAACTATGAAATATCAATCTGTCCTCCCCAAAATGGGGCCTATTAATATTTTTGGGGGAAAACTACGTCTAAAATGTACTGCATTTATAACCAAAAAAATGTCTATAATTGAGAGATGTTCCTGGAGATTAATCATCATTTCCATTGTCTGGAGTTGGAAACCCAAATCTGAACTCTTTAGTTCTTCTCAGCCAGTCATCAGTATGGCAAGGCCTGCATCTCTCTGTCATATAAGGTAATGTGTTTTTTCATAACTCTTGTGCAGTGACTGACCAGGTTCCTATGGGGAATTTATGCTGTGAATACTGCTCAGAAGGTTCATAGCAGGTAGTGAATTCAAAATTAGGCTTTATTGATTAACTAAATTACTGTAAAATTTCTGCCTTTCTCTATGTTTTATGCATTACTTATATTGTCTAATTAACTTATTTGATAAATTATCATATGAGTCAATAGACAATCATATAACCTGTGCCTTTCCCAGTAGAACATAATATATATCAATCATGGGAACAGGATTTACCCAACCGTGTATTTGTGGAATTAAAAATACCTCTTCATATCATGTTTGTCATGTTTACCTAACCCTGGGTCTGTCCCAGGAAAGCTTCCCATCTGTTTAATCATGGAGCCAGCTCATGGTGGTAGGTGAAAAACAGACAGAGGATAGGGGTTAATATCAGCTCTTAACAGGATGGGGTTTGGACCTAGAGATAAAGCAGAACAACTGTGGAAAATTGCCTAGACATCCATTTCTAGGATTATCTGATATGGGATAAACTAAGCAGGACCATCAGTTTTATTGAGGCTCCTCTGAAGATCCCATAATCCATAACTCAAGAAAAACCAAGGTTCCCTCACTTTTATGCCAGAGGATATTCATGGTCTAAATGTCTTAAGATCAGGCTTTATCTGCTGAAAGGTAATACCTGCCATTAGGAATTAGGAGCCACGTTCAGGATAAACCAGATGCTGCAGTCCTGAGCATTTTTCTTCTTCATTGACAGAAAAAGATCCTTCTATAGTGGCCCATGGACTTAGTCTCTGAACTTAAAACTAATAGGGCTGGCTAAAAAAGCATATGTGATTCATTGAGCACTTGAAAGAATCCACCATAAACTTGCAATTCTTCTTGAGAATCTACAGATCAAGGACTCATTGGATTAACAATGAGTCTGTTTTAAAAATGAAAATAACCCTATAGTTTATTATGGATTGCTTGAGTTGCTTCTTCATAAAACAGAGCCCACTATGACTTGACTTAACCTTATTTCCCAAGGAGAGCCTAGAGTGGCATAGCAGTGAAGTCAGGGAGGAGCAGAAAACTAACTTCCTTAACACAGTTGAGAAGGTACCCTCTCTCCTACATCCCTCAGATGTCTTAGGGAGCTGAGGTTTCACAAGTGACTGCCAGAGTCAAATATGCCTGAAAAATGCAGTGTCTTTAAAAGAAAATTTGATGGGCTCATGTGCACTCAAGGAAAAGAAGTGAGTCTGTCAAGTAGTAAGAATTGAAGACAACTAAATATGGAACATTTTAAACAAAAAGGACAGGAAGAAAGCCTTTAGCACACAGGATATAGAGAATTTGTGATAAAACATGGACAAGTGTCACATAGGATGAAAAGGCAGAGTCTATGGTCTATATTAGTGTGGGCAGTACCCACCTCAATGAAATCAGAGATCTTTCAAATAGAATATAATAGTTTATAGGAAACACTAATTGATTAGGTTATTCAGATTTGTAACTTTTTTTTACTCATTTTTAGCATATTAGTAGCGCTAGCTAATTTTAATTTCTATCTAAATTTTTAAATAACTACTTTCTTGAACCCAGGTCTTCTGGATTGTAGGCTCATAGGATTTAGATCTGGAAGGGATCTTAAAGATCATCTAGTTAAACGTCCTCATTTTATAAATGAGGAAACTGAGACCCAGAAATGTGAAGTGACTTGTATTAAGTAGCTGAACCTGGTTTCAAACACAGAACTGCTAACTCCAGTCCAGTGCCTTTTTAACTCTATCACGCTGAAATCCTGTATCTGTATACTAGGATAAACTACTATATCGGCAATAAATGGTTGGAACAATTATTAACTAAAATCATATCCTGAAAATAAGGTAAACTAGTACAGTTTGATTTGAATCTCATTTGACAAAACAAGTAATGTAAATTCTGATAGTGAAATTATCCACCCTAATTTTTTATTGATAATTATCCACATGCCCTATTTATTTACCAATGAATTTTTAAACTGATTAATGGGACTAGTGATTAAAAAAGCTTCTTCCCTTGGAATTATGAGCTTATCTATGTAGGTACCTCTTTGAACAGTACCAGTCTCAATCCATCCACATATTTTCATCCTGCCTAATTTTTGTCCTTGGAGTCCTCCCATAAATCCTCCCCAGGGTGGCCACTTAACTTGCCTAGGGACCTTTCTCTAGATCTCTTGACCTTTTTGTGAGTATCCATGCAACTCCTGGGCTTTCCATCTGTTAGCCCTCAGTTTCACTACATAATCATCCCACCTTATTTCTCTTTCATATTTTTCTTTTGAAAAGCATTGCAGCCTATGTATGCTCATCATGTATCTCTCCATTGTCTTTTGGGCAGCCTGCAGTTTTGATTTTTTTTTGAGATTGACTCTATGATGTCTAGCTATATAGTATCATTGGAAGAATATTGCTGTTAAAAATATGAATTTTTGATTTGGGGGAAAAAAACTCTTGAAAATGCTGAGCAATTTGCCAAATATAATTCATATATTCTTTCCTTCATGTTCAGGTCTAGGCTTACCCTTGCTATTCATATGCTTTGTCTGTCTAAAATACATGTGTTGATGGACAAGCACTATATCAAATGTTAGTACTATCATGGACACACATGCAGCTTATACTAATATATAAGTACCTGTGTAGCTGGAATCAAAAGCTGAAAAAAAAAAGTTCTGAAGGTTTTAAAAAGAGGTTGAACCCAATGGGAAATTTTAATACAAAAATAAGTTTCTGACTTCAGGTTTCCATCAATTTTTCTACCCTCACATGACCAACCTTCTTGTTCAAACCCTCATCATTTCTCACTTGAACCATTGCAGTGGCTTAATAATTGTTCTCCCTTCTTCAAATCCCTGCTCTCTCCAGTCTTTCCTCCACATAGCTGGTAAATTGGTATTCATAAAGCATACATCTGAAAATGTTACTTCAGGCTCAAGAAGCTTCTTTGGCTCCTTAATACTTCTAGAATAAAATGCAAATTCCTTTGTTTGGTATTTAAAATTCTTCAGAGTCTGACTTCAACTTTTTTATACAACAAAAGTTCCTAACTTGGGGTCCACTAACTTTAAATGGGAAAAATGTGATGATAAATATATTTCACTATAATTGGTTTCCTTTGTAATTCTATGTATTTTATTTTTTGCATTTAAAATCATTATTCTGAGAAAGAGCCATTAGGATTCACCAGATTGCCAAAAGGGTTCATGATATAAGAACCCATGCTCTAGACTAATTTCACATTACTCCCCTCATGCACTCTGTGTTCTAGCCAAATTGGTATACTTGATATTCTCCATCTGTCATTATTTCATCTCCCACCTCTGTGTCTCTGCAGGCTGCCTCCCATGCCTGGAATTTTCTTCTCTTCACCTGTCTTTTAGAACACCTAGCTTCCTTCATTGCTTAGCTCACGTGACACCTTCTACACATCATTTCCTTATTCTTCCAATTATTAGATTTCCCCCTGACAATTTGCTGTGTTTTTATTTTGTATGTAGTTTTCTGTGTACATTTCATCTCCTCTATTCTCCCTCTCTAGTAGAATATAAGCTCTTTGCAGGCAGGGACTTTTTTGGTTTTGTGTCCCCAACACATAACAGAGGGCTTGGTAGGTAGGTCTTTGTTAAATTGAATTCTATCACTTTTTCAGTTGATGCATCAACAGATAATATGCTGACTTAGTGTAATATATTGAGAGCTTCTAGTTCTTTTGCCAGTGAAGCTCTTTGAGGGTCTTCCTGAAGCATTCCATTCCCTGGATTACTATGGGAATTTTTTATATTAATCTCTTTTTGTTAGAAAAATTTCCCAGTTACCCAACAACATATAGATGTCAATTTATGAAGGACCTTTATTCTACCTAAGAACATTGTAGTATTGAGTTAGTTAAGCAGTGATGTGCCTGTTATATTGTGCAAACCATGCTTTACTCCATTGATGACAGAGAAAAGAAAGACCTGCCATGCAGTTGTATAATAAATGGGAGAGAAAATTGGTAAACTAATGAATTAGGGCAACAAATTTAAAATATTCTCAGAGCCCAGGTCTGTTAGAGTCATGCTTTCATAAGAACAATGAAAGTG